TCAATTATTCCTGCCCATACGTTTAAACTAAACTGGCGTTGATGTCTTGAATGCACAATAACATGTGGGTTTTCTTCATCCCAGTTATGATTATTATGAAAATTGAATATATCATTGGTAAAACTAGCTTACCAAAGTTTGCTCTGTTTATAAAATTCATTATATCTCATAAACGAAGACAGATAGGACATGTATTTACATGACTTCTTTTCATTATTTTTTGGCGTACAGTCAGCTCCCAAAGTGGGTCCCAAAAGTTACGAAACACCCTGTGTATAGAAAAGAATCGAATCTAACCTTATCAAGCTCGATATAATTACCAATCTTTTCTCCCCCCCTCCCCCCCCCCCCCGCCCCCTGCAACGAAATCAACGAAACGAAATTTCAAACCAATTTGGCACTTCCTTACTTCAAACGACTGTAACACGCGCGTGCAAATGTTACTTGGGCGGCGAGCGTTAAACGAAAAGAAAGCTTGTCGAAGAGGAAGAGAGCCGGCTGAAAATTGGATTACTTTTCTCCCGCTGGTGGTGAAATGGGAAAGCGGAGGAGGACCGGGGGATTATACGGGACAAACGGAGTCTCGGCGCGCTACACAGTTTCCCTCCACGCCGTGGCCCCGTGAAATATCCATGAAAACAGGCTCCTTTGTCAGGATCGCGACGACAAAGTGCGCGCGCGAGAGCCAGCTGCCCGCTCGGCGCGCGAGCGAGCAGGCGCGTAATTAAAAACCGTGAAAACAGGCGAACTGCAGGCTGTTGCTTCGCTCTCGCGCGTGCGCGCTCTCTCGCTAAATTGGATTATTTTTCTCAGCCTGGCCCTCATTCTACCATTCGCTCCTGACGGCGGCAGGAACAGCCGAGTTCGAGGACGAGGAAAATGGAAGAGATGTTGGGGAAGAGAAAGAAAAAAAAAACACACACACACAAATTGAGAAGGGAGTTGCTGCTTCCGGCGCGTTTCCCTCGACCTGACCTCTCCGGTTTTCCCCGACGATTAAAACACTCCTTCGCGAGGAGCGTGTAATCTCCTCTTTCCTCGTTTCTTCGTCCCGTTTCGTTTCCCTGTGCTTCGCCTCGGCAAAGTGACGCGTCGTATCGCGGTCAGAACGCCACGTTCTGCCGAATTCGTAGAAAGCGCGAAAGCCAAGCCTTTCGTTCCTCGCCCGGTGGTTGGTTTTCGTCCCGTGCGAATTCAACACCCGCCGTGGAAGTCAAAGAAGCTTTGCCGCGGTTCCCTGCGGATTATTCAGATTTTTTTTTTTTTTTTTTTTTTTTGAATGTCCCTGGCTAAAGGTACAAATGGTCATTCACGTGGTCGTGTATAGCACCGCGGCTACGACATCCTCCGATGTCGTAATTAGCGTGCTAGGCGAATGAGCGCGATATTTCGCGACTCGACTCCCGTTGCGAGGAGAAAGGAAATGGAAGGGTGAAAGGCTCGTTCGTCTCGCGATTCAAGATGGTAGGTCTTGCGTGGTTTCTTCCGGGTTGTTGGACAGATGGAAACGATTCGATGGGAATCGCGTAATAAACCGTATCGCTGGCATTTATTTAGAAACGATAATGTTTAATGTTCACAAGTACAAATATATGTGCTCTAGTACAAATTATATACACTGTCGTCCATAAGTCACCGGACACTATCGACAAATCGAGGTACGGGCAATTATATTCGACGAAATATCCTATTTTATGAAATAGAATACATGTGTCATACAGTTTATGCGTGAAAAATCTTACCAAGAAGTATATTATGTATCTTATATCTTTGTATCGCCGATATATCCGCCTCGTGAAGTTATGACGGCCCGAACAAACCGTGGCATTCTTTCGATTAATTTTATTAATATTTCAGAATGAAATTCTTTCCACGTTTCTTTTAATTTCTTCTTAATAAGTCTTTTTTCGATTTTGGACACGTCTTCTGTCCAATTCATCCCATAATTCTTCGATTGAATTTTTCAAATATATCTATATTTTTTTTTATATTTTTTGAAATATTTATTCAGACTATATACTATATAAAATATCAGTTTTGTTTTCAAGTGTTATTATAAAACAAGTACATATAACAAGATTGTACAATAAAATTAATCCAGAAAAGTATATCAGTGTTCTAGTAACTGTTCAGCTCAAACTAAGCAAGTGTGACTCTTAGACGGGTGTTATATAACGTTCGAATACCTTACATCTGATGTAATTACGTAAATTACAATAACTAACTAACTCTAACTAAGAACGTCGAAGAAAAATTACAAGACAAGGGGCTCGATTTAAAAGTAATTTTCAGTGTTGCAATTTCCTCGGAGCAGTTCGTTGCAAACATTTGCGAAACGAAAAGCACGAAAAGAATCGATCGAGACCTTGTTACTCGCTCCGACTCTGAATTTCGACTTCAACCTTTTACCTTTTACTTTTTCTAAATGTTTCTCGCAACGTTTCAAGTTCTGCGGTATTATCCCCGGGTTTTTTTTTCCGGACAATCCCCGCGCAAAACACTTCATCGTACATCCGCGACGGCGTTTGCGTTCTCTCTCTTTCTCTCTCTCTGCCGATAGAAATTTTTGAAAACGTTGGGGAACGTTGGCGGTCTCTCATTATTCATGTGTATTTCTCGCCGCCACTTAGCTCGGGAATCGCGTGCCAGACTCGATAAAAATTAAACGCAGCGGCGCTAGTGCATTTTATCTGCAGTGTAAGGTAGAAACACACGGGGAATTCGCAACGCTCGGCCGACGGTGGCACGTTGGTTTTAGTAAAATAGAACTTAACGACCCGATGTTAACTACAACGGTAATTGCGAAATAAAAACAACGATTCCGCCGTTTGTTAGACAGTTTATTTCAACAAGCAGGGAGGGAGAATTATCACTTCCTCTTCTTTCGCCTGCAATTACGTAATAATTATACCACCTCGTACGGCGCTACAATTTTTCAGCGTCAAATCGATCAAGGAATTGTTCAATATTTGTCATCTCGCATGTGTGTGTTTATCGAAACGTTGACGCGAAAGTTTCTCTTTTTTCTAC